GCATCACGAGTTTCACCAAATAAGAACACAGCAGAAGCTCATAATTGACAATGCTGGAATAGTCTCATCATCATCAACGAAGAACCAATGTCGATGTCCTATCTGGCGCTCGGCGCCCAGACTACGAATGGCAGATCCTATCTAGCCCTAGACTACAATGCCGCTGATGACGTCAACAGCTCCCCGAAGTACGAGCAGATCTCGGACAATGCCGCACGCTTCAAGCACCAGGTATGTCTCTCGTATCACTCACAACCTCGTTCCTCAACTCACAGATGCCACATGCACCCAAGGACCACCATGCGCCCCATCCAGCATACAGCAGCGCAGCTCGGCTATGGCTGCCTGCTCCTTCCAGCTCGTCCGTGAGCGCGTGAGCCTGGCAGGCGATAGCGCAGCAGCGCTTGCGCACAAAGCAGCCAGTGCCCGAATGTCCCCAACGTGGGCTGGCCCTTTCCTATATGGAAGTGGCCAGCCTGCGTGCGTGCAGCCTGGCTGCGCTGGGCCCTTGCCCAGAAGCTTCCGGTAGGCCCTGGGAGGCTGAGCCTCAGACCAAACGAACCGGGTCCAGGGCCACCGACGGTTACCCGTGTTCAACTGCCCACAGTCTGAGTTGGGCCTATGCTGCGTATCTCACCCAGGGCCTGACTCAGATACATTTGATAAAAGGAGACCAGGGCCTGAGCGCTTTCAACCAACTGGCGCTGCGCAACTGCCTGAATTTTGCCCCAGTTGCGAAGTAGTCCAAATAGGCCTCATGTCATCTGTCGGGCCTGTCTTCACTTAGGGCGGCCGACGTTGTTGCAAATAGGGGCCCAATAGGGCTCATCGAGGCCTTGTGCCTCGCATTCCCTCCTCCGTACTCCTCTGAGAAGTTCAGTCTTCAATAATCTGGCGCTTTCCTTTCTGTAGAGACTTCTCATAATTGACGACAACCCTGTGGAGCGGTTTGCATCAGTTCCTCCCTGGTAAACCATCGGTCCTCCTTTGGATCAGTGTGATGTCTGAACCGAACCCTGTACTGCAGCTTCGGTTTCGGAGGTCGTCACCTGCCTGTCCATCTTGGAACTGGCATTTCCCGATGGTCGACAATGTCATCGATGTCGACCTCTCCATCCATGGTTGGGGGCAGCATCGAGCGACGAGAGGGAAACTGATTTGTTTCTTTAAAAGGTGCAAGCTTAGAGGCATGGAAAACCGGGTAAGCGCGTAGGTGACCAGGGATGCGAATAACATAAGAAGGGTTATCCGGTTCATCCCCAACAACATCTAGAATCTCCCATGGTCCAAAGTACTGCGGCATGAGCTTGCGGAAGATCCCGTGCTCCTATCCCAGTTCTGAGGACTTGACCCAAACTCTCTCTCCTACCTGAAATGTGGATGGGCGGCGGTGTTTGTTCTCAGACTCTATCATCGTCGCCTGCGCCTTGTGAATCTGTTCAACAGCCTGCTGCATCAGCTGGTCATATCGATAAGCAAACTCTAAGGTCCCCGGTGCAGCAGAGGGCTGGTTCTCAGGTAATAAGAAATCCAACGGCAGTCTAGGCTTAAAGGTTAATAGTAGACTATTCTGACTCACGCCCATTGCGTTGTGCACCGCGTTGTTGTACAGGCTAGCGATGAGAGCAATTTTCTCATCCCAGTCTACCTGATTGGCTTGATGTAATGCCTCAGCAGGTGTTGTACAGCGCGGTCAACTGTTCTGCTTGCCCATTCGCCTCGGTATGGTTTTCTGATGTCATCTGCAGTTGCGTTCCCTGTTATGCAGCTGCGGCTTTCCACAGTTCACTTGTGACCGTGATTATAGATTTTGGCAGTCCAAAATCTCTAACCCAGTTTTCTTTGAACAGCTTAATTACGTAGTCGGTCTTAGTTGTTGCAGGCATTGCGACTAACCTAGCGTACTTACTAAACCTATCCACAATGACATAGACGTAGCGCATTCCACTCTTGTTGGTGACCAGCGTATCCATGAAATCCATGGACAGGCTATCACCGGGCCTTTCCGGAATTGGAAGGGGCTTCAAAAGCCCAAGAGGAGCCTGTGTACGTGGCTTGTCCCTCTGACAGATCTGACAAGTTTCCACGTACAGCTTCGCGTCTCTCATCATCGTGGGTCACCAGAACCGCTGCAGCAGATTGGTTGTTGTCTTCTTGTAGCCAAAATGGCCGGTGGCGTCATGACACTCTCCTAAAACTGAACTACGCGAAGACTCTCTATCTGACACACACAGACGTTTATTCCCAGCCTTCTCAACAGCAAGTCGTTGACCAACTCAAACTTGGCAGAAGTCACCTTGTCCTTTGCCTCGAGTCTGTGTATGATCTCAGACATGAACTGGTCCTCGCGATAGGCTTCCACCAACGAGCGAGTGACATTGTCCGTGAGCTCGAACTCAGTAATCAGCGCACCCGAGAAGTCAGGCCTGCGCGACAAGGCATCAACAACTTTGTTGTACTCCCCTTTGAGATACCATGGTTCGAAGTTATACTGTTCAATGACTTCGATCCAGCGCTTCAATGCATCGGAGAGCACTGGTTGGGTTCTCATCCATTTCAGGGTCTGATGATCAGTCCTGACGATGAAGAACCTCCCAAGGAGATAATGTCTCCAATGGGCCCATGCCTTGTAGATCGCGTAGAGCTCTTTCTCATAAGTGGACTTAGCCAACTTCTGAGACGACATCTTCTTTGACATGTACTCGGCTGGCCTAAACTTTGGCCCCTCCTGTTGCACGAGCACGGCGCCTATGCCATATTGGCTAGCATCCGTGGTTACTATAAACGGCTTATTGGGATCAGGAAGTTTCAAAACCTCGTGGTGTGTCAACGCATGCTTCAGATGTCTGAAAGCAGCCTCACACCTGTCTGTCCACTCCCATGGGGTGTCAAGGCGGGTCAGGTTCGTCAAAGGAGCGGCAACTATGCTATAGTTCTTCACAAAATTGCGATAGTAGCCGGTCATCCCTAAGAAAGACCTCATCTTAGTCACAGACTGAGGACGCGGCCAGTCACGAATGTTGGCCACCTTCGCGTCATCAGGCTTCAATCCTCCACAGAAATCTCATGACCCAAGTACAAGATACGGGCGCGGCCAAACTCGCACTTCTCACCGTTAATCTTGAACTTGTGCTGTCTAAGGAGACTAAGGACTTTGTCCAAATGAGCCACATGCTCCTCGACAGTCCCACTAAAGATAAATATGTCATCGAGGTACACAATGACAAACTTGTCCAAGTAGTCCTGAAAGATCCGATTCATAGTGTGTTGAAAGGTGCCAGGAGCGTTGCAAAGGCCGAAAGGCATCACCACAAACTCGTACAGACCGTACTTGGTCTGAAACGCGATTTTGTGTTGATCCTCGGGTCGGATTGCAATCTGATGGTACCCGGAGTTCAGATCTATCTTACTAAAGTATCGGCACCCTTGCACTCTATCAAGCAAGTCGTCGATGCGTGGTAGGGGCTCTCGGTTCTTGATAGTGATGGCATTGAGGCCCCTATAGTCAATGCACATCCTCAGTGTTCCCCATTTCTTCGGTACGAATAGGACTGGAGATCCATAAGGAGAAACACTCGACCGGATCCACCCCTTCTCTACGAGTTCCTTGAGTTGTCCGCGAAGCTCATCAAGCTCCCTTGGAGACATCCGATAGATCCTACCCTTTGGGATGTTAAACCCTGGGACAATCTCTATCGCGTGGACGACCTCCCTCTCGACAACCCCTGTCGGCTCTTCAAATAGATTAGGATACTTAGCAACTACTCCCTCTATCTCAGGCGGCATTTTCACCGGTTCGCCTGCTGCAGAGACATACCCTTCTCCGGATTTTGCTTATAATAGCTATAGAACGCGGCCGCATTCATGCATCTGTGGGACTCGATCAGACTACTAGCTTTGAACTTATGTAATATGGCGGTCCCCCCACCTAGCAAAGTGTGTTTGACCATTTTTTGGTCCCAATCAAATTGGGGTTGTGCCAAGGAGAGATAGTACATACCTAACAAGATATCCATAGGGAGATCATCGCTCACTAGGAACGAGACGCGATGTCTCAATTCCCCTCCCGCATACGGGAAACAACACTCAACATCGTGGATGTAGTCGTTGACTGCCATGCGCTGTTTGTTGGCACAGGTCGACTCAGGCGCTGCACTCGCCCCTGTAAACGCAGCCTCTCTACGCACGCGCGAAGTTCCTAGTCGAGCAAGTGTCATAACAGGCCCCGGCCTTGTGGCCGTCGATGACTACCTCGCCGACGAACATCTCTCTCTTAGGGGCTTTGGCCAATGTCGTCCAAGAAGCTAGTGGGTCTGATCTAGACCACTCCTCCTCTAACTTCTCTAAGGATTCAAACACAGTCATCGAACAGAGGGCTCGATGGGTTAGAATGTGTTTGCGGGACGACGATGAAGTCAGTAGCTTTGGCCATCTCTCGAGATGGTGAGGGTGTGTCCACCACCTCGACCCTAGCAGGAAGAGCTACCATTCCTACTACTGGCCCGACGCATTTCCCGGAGCAGTGTCAGAAATGCTGGCCACATTGCTACCAACGGAAGCGAAAGATCCCAACGCCTGCCCCGTTGTAGGCGGGATCTTCCTGGTCACCTTTTTGTTACGGCACTTGAATTGGTTATGGCCATATTGGCCACAACAAATGCAAGCTTGTCGGGTGTACCGGTCTCTCCACACGTCCTCACTGAAACCCGCTTTCTCCCATTGAGGACCAGTTTTTGGGTGACCGCCCAAGCGCGAAAGTCATGACTGTACCCCTATAGCTGCACTAAACCACTCAACCATCGTGTTGCACTCCCCTCCAGATAGGAGGCAGTCACAAGCACTTCCTTGTGCGGCAAGGTAAGTTTGCACTTGACGTAGCCAAGTGTCGAGGTCTTCGCCCCTCTTATCCCCTGTAAAAGGTTTAGGAGCGGCGATGGTCGTCTTTGGAACCCACTAACTTTGTCCCAGTACCTGCATCATTCCGGGCTGTCACGTTAGACCCTGAGGAGCAGGCTGTTGCACTAGCTGCTGGGGCTGTGTACCCTGCGGCTGTGCAGGTTGCGAGACAGCAGGCTGCCTGCTTACGGCAACCTGCGATGGAGATAGGGTGAACACTGTCTGTACAGGAACATGTACACTAGGACCTGCTGAGAACCCTCCTTTTAAACGGCATTTCTAGGGAAGCGGCTTGGACCGATGCTGGGAAAACATATGGGGATACCCCAATCACCGGTGGAACAAAAGGAGGAGGATGTACAATGAGTCAGGCACCGAGCCCGGACGGCAACGGACCTGCCTGCGCTCGCCTGACCAACAAGGCCAGACTCTGCTAGATGTCCTGAAGGAGAGCAGTGTGGTGGTCCTGCATCTCTACAACACCTAGCAGGGTTGTCCGCAACGTTCTCACATCATCATCCATGTGCGTCAGGTTCATTCCCTCTAACTCACTGATATCCGTTTGTCTCCGCTGCATCATGGCTCTTCTTCTAATCATTATTTCCTTCTCTGCTTTTATCTTTCCTAAAGCCTTCTGTAGTTGTGCCTTCTGCAAGGCTGCCTGCTATATTGTGATCTCATCGAGAGTCAACACTAAGGGTTGGCTTGCCATAACGCCAGTGGACTGACTCAAGGTCTGCGCGACCATTGACCCTACAAAACCTGAACTACTAGCCTGAAAAGTTTGCTGCGCAGCAGTGGCCATGACTGCTGAAGTAGCAACCTCGCTTGCGAATGCCCTGCTTGCCGCTGTGGCCCTAGCTCTTCTCTGTTGTTGCTGCCTCTCTCTCTGCTGGCGGAACAAGTATATGTCGCCCTCTGGTCCTAATGCCAAATGGGCAATCGGGCGTCTAGCCGATCGCAAGAGCCGATCGTCTGGTTGTGGGACCTCCCTATCGCTCATAAGCTACATAACGGTACACAGTCTGCACTAAGACACTCTTTGATGCTTACTGCATCGTAGTACATAGACGGACTCATAATTAAACTAATTAATCGGTGGCTGTGTCAGAGAGTATATACATTTGGGTCCAATAGGTAAGTTCAGGTTCCTACAAACGAAAACTATTTTACTTTGACTAGTCCATGAACAGAAGCACAAGGAACAGAAAACAGTTCTAACTAATGTTGTCTGTCATATGTTAATGGTTGTACATCTAACTAATCAAAATACAAATAGAATCGTTKGTTGGGTTTGTTTGCAGAATGGGATCTTGCCCGAACTTATCACCTGGAATCTACCCCTCCCTCAATTCTTCTTGAACGTCTCTTTTCGACAACGTCCCTGAGCGATCCAGACAGCCTGCGTGTCTAAAGGTGTGCACACGGCCACCCCTGTGCCCCGAGTCCTGCTGAACTGGCCAGCCCTGCACAGTTTGTATCCTCGCATGCAGCGAGCCTTACACCGACCGATTGGCTGATCAGGAGGCGTTTATATGGACAGCCCCCGAAGTCCTCAGGAATTCTTTAACGTCGCAGACAGGACGACGATCATAGCCAATGGAAGGTACCCCGTCGGTGCTTATTTATAGACGCCCAGTCTCGTCTGTCACAAAGAGCTGGCCTGCCCTTCAAAACCCCTCCACAGCGCAGCGAGCAGACACAGGACAAAGCAGCAAAGCATGCGTGCTCTACTCCGGGTGGGTTGGCATGGTGACTGTGACCCAGTGCTTCATCCAAGGCCCTTCAGATAGCATCGCCCTCTCCTTCCAGATGCTCCACGTGAAGGTTGACGACTCTCAAGGTTGAAGCGCACACGACTCCTCACATGAGAGGACTCTAAAGACAGAACACACATCCTCACGGTAAGAAGTGTCGAAGAGAGTAGATAAGGTTAGGTGCAACGTACCTCAAAATAGTTGTCCCCACCCACAGATATTCTCACCAGATGACCCGATGTTGATTGTGATGACCAATCGCTGCTTCGGCACAACCAGCATTGCACAGTCGTTCCCCATCAGCATCAATCACACATCGAATAGCTCTCATCACACTGCGAACACCCAATAATCACCGCATAGCCTTCCTGGCGGTACCCCTCACCACCTGGGTCGCCAACTTATCTTCGCCCTCCTCACTACACGCGTCCCACGTCACGGTCGCTCACCGCACACACCGCGTGCATGTACCACATTAGGCAGAAGATGAGAGCCAGATTAGCGCACCGAACCACAGCTCCGATACCAAATTGCAAGGAAGATGAGCGATAGCGAACTTCAGAAATCAAACAGCACCATACACATGAGACCAGATAGTCGTGACCTTGAACCAAGAGCAGAATTGCATCACGAGTTTCACCAAATAAGAACACAGCAGAAGCTCATAATTGACAATGCTGGAATAGTCTCATCATCATCAACGAAGAACCAATGTCGATATCCTATCTGGAGCTCGGCGCCCAGACTACGAATGGCAGATCCTATCTAGCCCTAGACTACAATGCCGCTGATGACGTCAACAGCTCCCCGAAGTACGAGCCGATCTCGAACAATGTCGCACGCTTCAAGCACCAGGTATGTCTCTCGTATCACTCACAACACCGTTCCTCAACTCACAGATGCCACATGCACCCAAGGACCACCATGCGCCCCATCCAGCATACAGCAGCGCAGCTCGGCTATGGTTGCCTGCTCCTTCCAAAAGAGGGGGAGGGAGGTGGGGGGGGGAAACGTTGATCTGTGGGATGTGTTATTTTGCTTTGTGATCATTGGATTATCTGTGGGACGTGTCATCTGCTTTGTTCGACTGATAGGCTTTCTTTCCCTGTCCCGTTTGGTTTCCTCTTTCCTTTTCTTTACCTCTTTTTTGCCTTTTGGCTGCGTGCAAGTGGGTCCTTGTCACACACGGGGATGGGGGCACCTGTCATCCACATGGCTTGCCTTGTACGTTCCAGGCGATGAACACGCCGATCTTTCCTTCCTTACTCTTCTTTTCTTTTTCTTGTTTTGTCTTTTTCCGCCTTTGCACTCCCATTTACAGATATATATCGTCACAAACAGAACTGCCCGGTAAAACCGTAGGCAGAGAGAGAGAAGAGGACAACAAACGAGGGGCTGTGACAAACTGTTTCGTCGGAG